GATCTTGGTGCGGACCCAGGCGCTGTGGGTTTGCGGCGGGGGGGGGGGGGGGGGGGGCCGAGGGCCCCCCCCCTGCGTACGCCACTGACTGTGACTGAGATCAGCATTTTTGCCTGGGGAATGATATCTAGGGGTGCAGGATTGGGACAGGAACGGCTATTAAGAACTCCCTGGTGATATCTTTTATGATTGTATAGAACTTGTTTCAAATATCCTATTCTCACGACTCATGTGTTTTGAAATTTAATACGAAAATTATTGAGTAATGATCAATTCAATATTTACTGTCATAATAATGATAATAAAATTAATCCATTTTTTTTTTCTGTAAATAATAGAATTGTCAAATGCATTAACATACAGAATAGACGAGAAAAAAACAACTAATATTAACTTCGAAAAGAAAGAATATTAGAGGTCATTAAGATTGCTAAAAAATGATTTTGCATTTTTCGCTGATAGATATATTGCGAAGCGCGAAACTAAAAACGAATAGTCCCGTACATCACTATTCTGTGTAGAAGATCAGTCTGACACAAGGGATTTTCACACTCACTCAAATTTCTCATCCATACTAACTAATCACAAAAGCAGCTTTATGTCACAATGTAGTCAGCATGCTATCGGACGAGTGGTGATTCGACGCAAACAACTATTAGTAACTTGTCCAGGGAGATTTAATAGTTGATGTGACTGAGGTTTGAATACAGTGCTTTGTAGATGCGTGTCAAACGACACAATCACTTAGCTATAGTATGCGCTCTGTCAAAGACTGTCATGAAGTTATAACAAGTTACGTGATTGGTACCTGCAGGGCAAATATTGTGACATCATGAGAGTCACTATGCCCTGTGTCAAAACATGAAATATCATTTTATTTAGAATGTTCATAGAGTACAATCTAAAAGAAAAAAACTCATCGATGCTATTAGAATGAACTATTATTATCGAAGTGTTTGTTTCCAATTATATAGACGATGAAATATTTACAGTAAACAAAAAAAAAAATCATCTAGTTTATTTCATTGCTTAATCCCTATGAGTTACAATATTAGATCTTCACATAGTTTAAGCATTTCCGTCATAGAATAAAATTGTTTTCTCTTCTATATAGTTTTATATTGAATAAAAAAAAAGTTATTAATATTTAAAAAGAACTTACTTGAATATTGCATGCCTGATGAAAATAAATCAGTTGATTGACCATTTGGACCAGGTCCTGTTGTTTGATAAATTGTTGCTGGACCATTATTGACAGGAGATGCATTGACTAAAGAATAATTAGGAAAGTCCATATTGTCACAATCACCTATGAGATTAGTTACTCAAATTTTTACTGAATATAATATACTTCTATTCAAATATATATATTTTTTTCTATTAAAAAAAAATATATTTTTTTTTTATTTTTATTTTCTTACCTGTTGATGGTGTCATAGTGCCATTACTTATCGATTGGCCAGATGTTGTTAAAACTGGTATAGTTGTATATGCTGTTTGATGTGTACCGGTTGATGATGCTAATAAAGCTTGTTGTTGTAATTGTGTATATCCTTGATAATTTAAATTAGCAGCTATTTGTTGTAATACTAATGGATTTGATAAAAGTCCAAGTGGTCCGGCTAATTGTTGCATACGTCTTAATTGTCGTTCTTTTTCTGTATCAGCAAATTTAACAACAATAGATGATGATGCACCTGGAAATGTTTGACTTCCATGAACATTTTGTATAGCTAGTTGAGCTTCATTATGCGTAGAAAATTTAACAAATGCACATCCTTTACTATCACCACTAGGTCCTCGTAATATTGTACATTCTTCTATAGTACCATAAGGTTCAAATATAGTTCGAACATTTTCTTCTGTCATTTGCTTATTTAACATTCCAACGAATAATTTGCGATCTTCTATTAAACAAAAGACTAATTCAATTTTTAGTTTACACTTATTTGAAACTATAAAACATCTGTCATTTTTCTACATGTGCAAACACACATATACACACACATATACTAACTGTTTAACCGGATATACTGTTTCTGCTTGGCAGGCTATCTAGTTTATTAATCATGCATTGTGACATGTGACATATTTCACCTCTTTATTCATCTGTTCTATTATATTTTTTATTCCCATTACACAGCAGTCGATTTCTTTTTCTCACTCACTAATGAATATGTCATGTATTGAAGTGGTATTAAAAAGTAAAAATCTCCTTTTTTTATTCTCTCACCTATGTTTCGTATTCGATTAGTTAATATTGCATATTGTGTTAGAGTTTCGTTTGCTGCTGCGACCATCATTGATGTATAATATGGAATCGAAAGAGAATGTTGATGAAGATGTAAAAAAGAAATTTTCTTTTTTTTTCTTCTTCTCTTCTTCGCTCGGAAATCTCAAGCGTCTACTACACTCTTGTTCTTCTTTTTTTGTCGACCGGAAAAAGTAGTCACTCTTTTTGCTTCTGTTTCTTCTCTCTTCTTTTTTTTCTCTTCTCTTTCTCAACTACCTAGCTAGCTATCCGACGCTCTTTTTCTATATGTCGGGTCAAGTTTCCTTCTTTTTTTTTTTTTTCTAACGACGAGCGTCGACGATGGGAAATCTTATTAGGCTCCTTTTTTTTGTCTATCAGAGAAAAAAAAGAGGATCCTGCTATTCACCCACTCACATACCGATTGGACAATTTGTTTTTCTCATCTCGCTGGCTTCTTTTTTTATGAACGCGCGCGTTGTCGTTTTGCTACAGTTAGAAAAAAAAAAAGAAAAGAATTTTCTTTCGTCTACAACTAGAATTAACCTGATATATATATATATACGTGTGTGTACGCAGCATGATGAAACAACAGAAAGAAGTTTAGTAAAAAAAAAGATAATCATTAGTAAATAAAGAAGAAAAAGAATAAGATCAGAAGACGTTGGTGACTTTTTACAACGATGAGGCTGAGCACATAAAAAACCAACACGACGATTTGACATTACACCATTTATTTAGAGAAATAGAAAAACGTGGTCAGGAACAACACAGGCACCAATTACTACCATTAATAAATAACGACAAAAAATATATTATGACTAACTCACATTACTTTTTGTTGCTGCTGCTGTCGTTTAAAGTCATATAAACAGGTGCTAT